GCTACATTTATATATATATATATATATATAAAAGAGTTCTATTTTAGCGCAAAAGGATTTTATATTATTTATTGAATCCATGGTTTGTTTTTCATCGAAAACATTCCATATCATGGCTGTTCCTTTTGATTTGTATAGTTTGTTATTTAAAGAGGTGGCAGTCCTTTCTGTTTTCTTCATACAATAAAATTGAAATACTGTGTATACTCACGTGGGGTGAACATCTCTTCTTCACCGCCATGGACTGTGTTCGATGATAGCTTATCTTCTGGTCTGTGCTGAGAGGCGTCTGCACTTTTTTTTGTACCATCCGACAGCAAACTCGCTGTGACATACTGCTTTCACCTACCTCTTCAGAGGCCTCTTGCTTGTTGAGAAGTCCTCCGAATGCTCTATTCTAGACTGGCCGTTTCACAAAAGAATTTCAGTAAGACATTTCCGTGTAATTTCTTCATGACAGATTTGTTTCCAAAGCCGCGGCCTTGTCCAGGGGCCCCTGTGAGCTGGCAGGTAACATCCTTCCCTACAGATCCCCTATGGTAATCCTCTAGGGTTCCAGGGACCAGTGCAAGTGCATCATTTCTTACTCTGACTATGCCAGATCCTCCCCACCACCCCTGTCCCAGTCAAGTCTCGCCATTGCCTTCAGACCTGATTATTGTACCTCCTTTATCAACTACTGCATTTAGAAATGGCGAGTGTTTAAAAACACGGCTTCTAGAAGAAACACATTCGACTGTGACCTTTTCCCCCCTTCGCTATTCCAAAAACAGTTTGGAAAATGAGATTGTAAAGGCAAATGCCCTCGTGGATAGTTAAAACTTTGTAGGAGTTCTTATATTTCAATGGATCCTTAAGGATTGATGTGAAATAGAATGAAGGCCTGTCTCCATGAGAAAGGGTTCCTCCTCACTTAACGTTCTCCTCTGCCTGCTTCCATAGCTTCATAACCATCAATATAATAACATGTTTACTATATTCTTGGCGATTATCATACCCTTTACAAAATAAATCCCTTTTCTATTGTGCGTTGACATACAAGATGAAGCCAATAAACTGGATATTGTAAATCTGGATATTGTACCTAGAAAATTATCGTTTGTTTTCTCTTCATTTTTCTTGTGCCAGTGGAGAATTATAATCCCCTCTCAGTGTACACTTACTAGTGCACGTTTGAAATAGTATCCTACATGAGATGCTGTTCTACGTCTGTGGTCACCCACCCGGCCTGTGATACGCTACTGTCGGTTCGTATCACCATCTTTTACAGTTATTTTGGAACAGCTCGGCTGGTTTTCTGTGTTGGTAAATTGCTTATATAAATCTCAATAAAAAGGATCTGTACAAAGATATGTAACTGTGGTGTGCCGTTTTTTTCTTCCCCAGTTAAAAACTGTATTTTTTTTTTTTTTTTTTTTACCAAGCTGTTACGCTATAAGGAGGTGGTTCATTTTAAAGAGTCCTGATTGTGGGGGACATCTGTACCAAGGCTGGTTTTATAAAAAGGGGCTGTTATCAAACATTTCTGCTGACTTCATAGATTGTTGGAGCACAACTGACTTTACAGTTGCAGGGTCCGGGAGAACAACTCTAAGACATGTTTGCAAGGTGTCTGCAAAGCCCAGGTGATGAGGAAACCTAGTAGGTCTGTCTCATTCCCAGTTTGTTTTGTCTTCAAGGTATACCATGTTCCCCAACCATCCCCAGTGAACTTGGGTTTCCTTAAAGAAGATATAAAGACCTCCCCCTCTCTGTCCCTGCTTCTAAGAAGGTACGCTGAGTGCCCCTGTTGTACATGCCACTGTGAACCAGAAATCCAGGGACATGGTAGTCCTGTGCAAGAACTGTCTGCCTGATGGGTCCACGGGTTGAGGGCAGGCTGGTTCATCCCATCCTTGAGTAGACAGAAAACACTCTGTATCTTGCTAATTCAGGAAGGAAGGAAGTCACAGCTGGTCCACGTAGCGATTGACTTTCCCTGGAATATATTTGTGCTTTTTTTTTTTTTTTTTTTTTTTTGAGAGATTTTCACTGTAGGGTGCGTGCGCTCGCCAGACAGACAGAGAGAGACATAGAGACAGAAAGCGAGAAATCACCCCCCAGGGGGGATGGTCACGCCGCAATCCCTTCTCCTCCATTCTCCTCTCGGGATCTTGGGCACGCACGCACACGCGCTCGGCCTGAGTTTTAAGCCACCGGGTCCGGGATACGAACCGCGGTCGACTATGTGGGAATCCAGCGACATAGCCATTACGCTAACTGCTGGTTCCCTGTGCTTTTGATTTTAAAAATCATTTAGTTAAATACCGGGTTGTCAGAAAAGTCATGATGTATTTTTGCATAGAAAAGTACGTCATGACTTTTCTGATGACTCACTAGTTAACAGTAGAGTCAGTTCTGGTACGTGGCCAGTTCGGGTGGAGGGGCCAGCCATAATAATGGAGTGCCTGGGTTGATGTGCTGGCTAAACAAAGGCTGCCCTTGGGCCCCAAGAGGTCCTGAGAGCTGCAGAAATCAAGTCACTCCCTTGAAATTGGGAAGGACAGGGGAAAGCATTGGGGATTTAACTCTCAGCACAATCAGCGTGTCTGCATAACCCGTTTGGTCCTCTGTTTTCTTATCTCTAAGATGGTTGACTTAGAGGATCTTGAAGGAACATTAGCCCAAAACATCCTGTCTCTGACCAAAGGTAAGTGTAAAAGACTTATATGGAGGCTGTACTTGGAGGGCAAAAGGGAAAAGCTCTCTCTTCCTTGACCCATGGTTCTTCCCATGTTACATTACAGAAAATTGTGTTCATCTCCTCTTTTGTTTTACAAAAAAGTTGATCTATTTAGTTCTTCCATGAGAGAGAGAGAGAGGGAGTGGGGAGGGCACTCCCAGTAGAATCTTCACTCTGTGACCCACCCCCAACCTCAGCCAGCACTGATCACAGGCATGTGTGCACCTAGCATGAACAGGGAGGCCCTGGGATGTGAACCCGGAACCTTTTTCATGTGGGTCCAGTGGCATTACATTTTAATTTTTAAATCACAATACCTGGATGAAATGCTCAGTTCTTCATTGATTGTTCTAGGTCTAGAAATGGTCTGGATTTGATGGCCTACAAACCACATCACTACCTGGAGGTGGTGTAGGGGTGGGAGGAAATGGAGTCAGTTTGTCTAGGAGGTAAGTCAGGCTCCCCAACTTACTCTGAGGGTGACTATGAGCAGGTTTCTTATCTTGCAGTTCCTGTATCACTCCATCTATGCAGAAGGGATGATGCAAAATGCTCACCCCATATTTTTCATAGGTTTTCTGAAGATTTAATAGGTTGACACACTGAAGTATTCAGAACAGTGTTTGATACACAATATTCATTCAAAGCAGATTCACTTTTTAATTTTTATTATATTGAACAGTATATTTTGATCTATAACTCACTGTGCCAGGCTGCAGAGTTCCATTTTGTCTATAGGTACAGGCACGGGGGGGTAGGGGGGCCTCACAGAGCCAGGTGCTCCTGGAGAAGGCAGGAGGGAATGGTGGTACTGTCCTTTCCAGTGCTCTCAGAAGTATCCATTGGGTCAATCAAGGTGCAGCTTCTGAGTAAAGAAAATGCTGCTTTAAGTCTATATAAGGGAACCAGGTACAGTGGCATGTAATTGGAATCCCAGATGCTCAAGAGCCTGAGGCAGGAGGATCAAGAGTTCAAGACCAGTCTGGGCAACATAGACTCCTTGTGGAGAGAGAGAGAGAGAGGGAGAGGAGAGGAGAGGAGAGGAGAGGAGAGGAGAGGAGAGGAGAGATTACCATTGGGGTGATGACCACATTGCAACCCTTCTCTTCCATTCTCCTCCATTCTCTCCTCAGGATCCTGGGCACACATGCACACATGACCAGTGTGAGTTTCAAGCTGCTAGGACCAGGGCGTGAACCGTTAGCCGTGTGGGAGTCCAGTGCCTTAACACTATGCCACCTGCCAGCCGCGAACTAAAATATCTTTTCAAGGACAGATTTACACCAATCATAGCTTGAACCATATGTGGTGTAGACATGCTCATGGTTCACGTTTACTTTTGCTCTTGAGTTTTTGATGCAGATGGGAACTTCTGCTGCTGCTGCTTTCAATGGTCTTCCCTTTTCAGGGAGAAAGAGATACAGGTGTCACCTCCACCTGGCAGAGGTGCAGTTGGTCTCACCGGCTTGTTCGGCAGCTAGTCTAACTCTTGAGGTTTTCTCTGCTCTTTCTGGGTGGCTCCTCCTTTCACATCATGGGTTTTCAAGCTCATTGTTGGGTGGGCCCAGGGGGAAGAGGTTACAGATGGCAATACCTGGTATTTATTTAGTCTTCCTTGTCTTTTTGAAGTTGCTCCAAGCATCGCAGTTGGAGATAGTTCTGAGGTTCATCAGCAAATCTCACAGTTGAAGGTTTAAGCTCAGCCTCTGTACCAACCATCAGCAAGGCAGGGAGAACCCATGATGAGTGTGAGTTTCAGTTTGATAACTACCAAATGAGGAAGCTCTTTATATTCCTCCTGTGTCAGGCTGCCTGATAATTCTTTTTAAAATGTCAACTGGGTAAAATGTGGGTATATTTTAGACTCGTAAGTTAAATTGCATGTTGAAGATTCCAGAGCAATCACTGAAAGTTTAGAAATAGTGAATAACTTCCTATTGAGTCTAACAATCAATCAGAGATTGAATAAGCATTTAATGGGGCCAGCAGGTGGCATGGTGGTTAAGGTGCTGGATCCCACGTGGATGACTCTGCAGTCCCAGTCCTGGACCCATCAGCCTGACAAACACTCCGGGTGTGTGTGCACATGCATACCTGAAATCCTGAGAGGAGAAGGGAGGAGAAGGGATTGTTGTGTGGTCATGCCCTTGGGAGTGATTTCTCACTTTCCCTCTCTTTGTGTGTCTTTCCATCTCTGTCCACTGAGCACACATGCCCTATGGCAAAAAAAATTTAAAAAAATAAACAGATATGCTTTGAAAAGTCATACTGTATGTCATAAAGATGTATGACAATGGGGGCCAGCAGGTGGTATGGTGGTTAAGTAGTTGGCTTCCCAAATGGCTGACTGTGGTTCAAGTCCTGGACCTTGTGACTTGCTTTCGCATCCTCCCCCCCACTCCATTCCTGTGTGTGTCTCTCTGGTCAACTTAAAATAATAATAAATAAAATTGAACAGATAATTCTTTAAAAAAGAAAAGATGTATGACAATGAAATGTAAATAAGAAATGATAAAATTAGTAAAAACAAAAACAAACAAAAAAATTAGAATGGAAGGGAAAACTCAATTCCCAAAAAGCAAGTGTGTGCCACTGTGCCTGGCTTGTCAACATCTTGCCCTGTGCATTATGGGGATATTTTAAGAGCATACTGACCTCTAGATATCAGTAGTATTCCTATCCTTCTCTAACTCTCAACAATCCAAACTGTCTCCAGGCATTGCCAAAGGTGGCCTGGGGGACAAAACTGCCCTATTTAAGGCCATTGGCTGAGAGGATGGGAGCATCTCGGTGTATAGAAAGGATGGAGTAGGGGAAGGGACTCCCCAGAGGCTGAAGGCTGGTACCAGGTTTAGTGGCTAGGCCCCAACGCCATTGAGGCTGCATGTACCAGGAGGTCTACCATGTGATTGCTGTGGTCACATCAATTGTCATGCCAGGAAATGAGGTTGGAAAATCAGCAGTCAGAGGTCACACCAGCTCCTGCATTAAAAGTGGATGAGAGGAGATGATGATAGCATTACAGGAGGAGACCTGCTCCTTCCTGCGGCCCAGGCTGCTTCTGATGTCCGCTTCACCATCCTGATGCCGATGTGTTGACATATGTTTTCTTTTCCTAGATGGGAAGATCAGATCCACAGACCTAGTAGGGTCAAGGGCGTGAATGCTAGGCCAGTGAGCTTCCCATTCAGCTCAGGGGTGACTCTGCCCACAGTCTTGGCAGTGCCAGTGGATGCAGGGATGATGATGGGCAGTTTGCACATACACATAGGTGTGTGTGCACACACATCTGCACATACACATATGATAACAATGGGGATGGCAGGACCTTCAAATAGTGGCCAGGTGACAGCCTGTTGCTGTCAGAAGCCAGGAACCATCCTGGTGAGTGCAAGGTCCGGGAGAACTTGCAGGAAAGATGGAGATGACTAATAGAATACAGCATCCTGAAGGGCAGAATAGACAGGCTTACCAACAAGGTCCACTCAGTTTATACCATGAAAAAGAGGAAGGAAGATCAGAAGACTGCAGTCAGTAGCTCAAATACAATGTCACAACACTTTGGCCATTTTGTGCTCCTAGAACTCATTGGATGAAGAGACCAAGACTCTAGGGGAAAGAACCCCATGACAGGTGTGTATGATGATTCCCCTAGTCTTTGGCTGAGAAGACCTAAGGCCACTTGGACTTCCAGCCACCCCGCAGAATAGCACTCGATCTACTCTTGGTGACATGATGTTAGATGGGCAACGAGTGGCCAGTTTCCTGGGTGCCTTAGTAAGAACATGGTCATTTTTTTAAAACAACCTTGTTTTTCTAGTTGCCATAGGGCACATGTACTCACCAGAGAGAGGGAAGGAGAAAGAGAGAGAGAGAGAGAGAGAGAGCAAGAGCGAGCACTCCCTAATGGGGCATGATCACACCATGATCCTTTTTGCTCCATTTCTCGTTCTCATTAGGCTTTGTGCCTGGTACTGTATTCAAGTTTCTGGTGATGGGATTTGAACCACGGTCAGCCATGTGGGATCTGGCTTCCAATGCATAGCACTTAACCACTGTGCTACAGGGCCAGCCCAGAACATCTTCAGTTTCCTATCCCTTTTTTCCTACCTAAGGAATGATACCTGAAGACTGAACAATAACTGCTCAGTGGGGTGATCTTGCTTACAAGGGCTTCCCTGAATCACAGCATGGTCAAAGTAATACAGTGGCCTTGGTGGGCAAAAATCCACCTGCCACAGGTCCCAGGAACATAAAGCAAAGTTGTGTCATGTTGATTTCCTCAGGACAAAGAGGTCCCTTCAAGTCAACACACCCGTTGCCCCAGGTCACAGCTGTCAGAGAGTCCTCAGCCCTGGATCCAGAAAATCATTTCTGCTTATCAGCTCAACTATTGAAGAACACAAGCCAGAAAAAGGTATCCAGGACAGAAAGTCCCAGGAAACCATGCTTCCGGACCTGGCTCGAGGTGAGTTCTTATTTCAGTGTGAGATGATCTAGTACCATGCAGAGCAAGAGCTTACTGGGATCTCCGACCCCTTTACGTGGAGTAGCATAAGACGTTGCATGTCATTCTCACCTGGGTTCCCTGGGGAACACGCCTTAAGCTCATGTTTATTGTATAGACTGCCATTTCCACACCAGGTACTTAGTGTCTCAGTGGACTTCCTTCTGACCGCATGCTAAAGCCCAGACCCAGAAGGAAGCGTGTACCTTGGGGAAAAACTGCTCAATTACTCACAGAGCAGGAAGGGCAACAGCATGTAGCCATGGCTGAAATGATTCCTCCAGGAAACCGCATGTCATATTCAAATGATCACTGTCTTTGGAATCAGAGAGATCTGGATTTGAGCCCTGATTCCACCCCTCTTCAGCTTTGTGGACCTGTACAATTTACTTAAGGTATCGAAGTCCCTACTTTGCGGCTTTCCTAGCGCCCGTTCTGGCGCTGTGTTTCAGAAGGTGCAGGGCCAGAAGGGTTGCAGCAGTAATGCAACTGGACCGGCTGAGACCGAGGACAGATTGTGGCAGGAGGACCCTGCTAGGGGTCACTGTTCTCTCTCTCTCCTTTCTTTCTCTTTCATGGAAGTAATAAACTGGAGGGGGAGCAGGAAGCATGACCTCTGGGGCCAGCACTACCTGAGTTTGAATTCTGGCTCTCCCCTGCCTGGAGCAAATTGGTTAGCCCGCTTGTGCCTCAGTTTCCCCATTTGTGAAACGGATTGGGAGAACACTATCTCATAGGATTGTTGCGAATAGGAAATGCGTCCACGAAAGCCCTCCGCTGGTACCTGCCGCCGGTCACTGCTGCCTGGCCCCCGGTCACTGCTACCTGTGAAGCAGGCCCGTTTCCACGCAGTGATTGTTTGCTAAGAGGCTCCTGTGTTGGTTCTGGTTCTTTCCTCCCAGGGTCTGCCTGGAGAACCAGGCACTCTGCAGGCCAGCCAGCTCTCTTCTCCACTCAGGTCCTGAGGCCTTCAGTTTTCTGTGTGGGCAGAGACAGCACTGTGGCCCTGTCGCCTGTCCCGGGACAGGGATGACGGTTGAGAATGTGCTTATGTCCGGAGCTGTCCCCTCCCCTGCTCCATGCCACCAAATATGTCCATGCTCTCTGCCGCCTGGTCAACGGCCACCCCAGGCTGCGACTCCTGGCCAGACCTGGAGCTCAGGGGCTAATTTTAGAAATGACTTGTCGACTCAGCTGCTGTGCTCACATTGGCTCCGAAGGAGGGCGGGGGGAGGGCCGCGGGGAGGGGCGGCAGGGCAGGGGATGTGTGTGAGGGGAGGGGTGTGCTGACATTTCTCCTCGGCCCCGGTTTCCCCCGGCTCGGTGGGGTCCCTACAGGGCTACCTGGAGAGGACCAGGAGAGCTGTGTTTCCCGTGACCCGTGGCCTCTTTTGGAAAAGGTACCGGTGGGCTGGGTTTGGCGATGGGCACCTTTCGCGCTCATAGGCAAGTTTCCATTTTCCGGAATGCGATTCTGGGGGCCGCAGTGGCAGCCTCTGGGCTTTCTGGCTATTTTAGGCCTTTCTAGTGTTGAGAGTTTCTGAGGCCTTCTCCCTTTGCTGGTTCTCCAAGCCGCTCATTAGAGAACAAGGATTTCAGGACGAAATGCTGCGATAAGGCACACCCTTAAAAACTATCCTCGGCAGGACTCAGCGATTTGTTAAGAAAAAAAAAATCACATATATTTTTAGAGTCATGAGTTCACCTCCACTGTGGAATCGTGGCCGCCAGACAGCAGGGTCTGTATTTTTCCTCCACCCCCAGTGATTCCTGCTTAACTGGTTTTCAGTTATGCACCCCCCACCCACTTCCAGGTTTCCAACCCTGTTGAGTACAATAAGCCTTAATTGTAATGAAAAAAAAAAAATGCTATTCTAGGTTAAGCTCTGTGTGTGTGTGATGGGGTGAAGGCCAGGGTCTGGGCCGAAGGCTTCAATTTCATGCGGCGCTTACTTGCGCTTGGAAAGGAGGTATTTTATTGGCACACCCGCCAGGCACTTCTCTGAATGAGAAGATCCAGCTGCTTCATGGCCGGCGGTGGGGGCAGGGAGGGGGCTGTGCTTCCTTGGTGGAGCTTGGGGGTGGGGGGGCGGCCTGGTCCACTGTGGGCCTCGGGACTGCTACCTCCCTGCACTTTCTCACCCAGGAGGCCGGGAGGAACAGACTGATCGGATCGGTTCCCGGTCACGTCCCAGTCAGCGGAGCTCAGCCCGCCAAGCTCCCCTGTGCTGGGCCTGGCCTTCCATCTTGCAGGGCCTGGGAAACCCTGCTAACCCTGCTGTTGTTTTCACTCTGTGGCTGTCCAGGGTGATGTCTGTCTGGCTAAGTGCCACTGAGGGTCCGGCTCAGGCTTCTAGCATCCAACAGGAGGGTGACTCCCTGGGGTAGTGTCACTGTGTCTGGGTGTTGTGTCCCAGGGGTCCTCAGGGAGCAGACAGGAGGGGTCTGTGTGGGATTGAGCTATGGATGTGTTCTAGAAAACAATCGTAGGGGTGGGGAAGAGAGAGCAAGACAGAGAGAAGGAGAATGAGAAGAGGAAGAAGTGGAAAAGGAAAAGAGGAACAGGAGGAAGGAGGAAGAGGAAGGAGAGGAGGAGGAGCATGGTGGAGGAAGAGACAAATAAAGGGTCAGGGGACAGGACAGAGAGGAGGAGAGGAGGGGCTCTGGTCTCCTGGTTTCTTGAGGGGCTGCCTGTCACCCATCAGCAGAGGTCTGATGTCACCCGCACACAGGCCGGTCGCCTTGAGTAGCCTGGTTTGCTACTTAGATCTGCCGACCATAACCCTGGACAAGTCCCTTCCCTAGGCAAGCTTAGTTTCTTCTTCTAGAACCTGACCCCTCAGGTTGGTTGGGTGAGACCATTGTGAGTTCTCTTGAGGAGTCTACTTCCAGGGAGGTGGTTTTCTAAGTGTTGGTTACTCCAAGCGTGGGTTACTCATCAGACTCATCTGAGGGGTGGGAGGGAGACTTTAAAATGTAGGTTCCTGGGTTTAACTGAGACTTACTGAACAGTCTTAGGCCAAGGGCCCATGAATCTACTGCCTGCTTGCTTTCTTTTCTTTTCTTTTCTTTTCTTTTCTTTTCTTTTCTTTTCTTTTCTTTTCTTTTCTTTTCTTTTCTTTTCTTTTCTTTTCTTTTCTTTTCTTTTCTTTTCTTTTCTTTTCTTTTCTTTTCTTTTCTTTTCTTTTCTTTTCTTTTCTTTTCTTTTCTTTTCTTTTCTTTTCTTTTCTTTTCTTTTCTTTCTTATTGCCAGAGGGCACTTGAGAGAGAGAGAGAGGAGAAAAGAGCAGGGGTAAGCATACTCCCTCCCCCAGTGAGGCATGGGCATGCCAAAATCCTTTCTTCTCTATTTTTCCTGTCAGGACTTTGGGCACACATGCCTAGTGTGTTTTTCAAGCCACCAGGGCTGGGATTCAAACTGTGGTTGGGTATATGGATCCAGCTCCCTTAACCACTAGGCTGTGGGGTCGGCCCTATGTTTTCCTGTTTTTAATTTACTTTTTCTTTTCATGGTAGAGTGTGTGCATGTGTATGAGAAAGAGCGAGAGAGAGAGAAAAAAACCTTCCACAGGGTCTGGTCATACCACAGTCCCCTTCCCCCAGTTCTCTAGCCTCTGGGATCCTGGGCGTGCATGCACACATCTGGTGTGTTTTCAGGTCGATTGGCCTGGGGACTCCAACCAAGGCCGGCAGGTGGCTTCCAGCTCTGCAGGCCAGCATGCTGCCTGCCAACTGTGCCATAGAGGCTGCACATCCGAAGCCTCACAGGTGGCTCTGGCCCCCCCACCCCCAAATTGGAGAACAGCCTTTGTCTGCTTGTAGCTAATGAACCCCCAGAGGGCCGCTGCTCAGCGCCCATCTTGTCAAAACCCATGGCATCATCACACAGCGTGGAGGACATTCATGGTGCTTTATTAAGGTCTGACTTCTGCAAAGGTAATATTTAGTCATGTTTACAAAAGATCTGGCCCTTCTATGGCATCATTTTAAATGTTTATTTACTTATTTCTTCTGAGAGAGACACACACACAGAGACAGAGAGAAAACTCACAGAGACATAGTGAGAAAGGCACCCTCAACAGAGTCTGCACAACACAATCCACCCCCGACCCCAGCTAGCCCAGATCGGGCCTGGCTGGACATGCCTGACCTGTGGAGGGAGGCCCTGGGATGCGAACCCAGGACCTTCCCATGTGGATCCAATGCTCATCGTCTTTCCACCATGCTAGCTTCTGGCCCTCTGTGGCATTTTGAGATGAGAGCACAGGTTTAGAGCTACAGGGACCACCTCAAGCTGCTCGGAAGGAATTCCGGCTGTGTGTCTAGGAGGCCACCATGCTCTCCTTTGGGTTCTGGTTCGTCTAGTCCTCGGTAGATGAAAAACGACTATCTGAATGAATGGTCCACTTTAAGCAGATGGTTAGTTGCCTTGGTGTATGGTGTATCTTTAATATTTAAACTAAGTGGAATAAAAACATGTAAAAAAAAAACGAGTTTGAGACCAGTAGAGGGCCCCTGCAGTGCTGCCAAACTCAACCCTATCTGTTTCCCCAGAGAGGAGAAGCAACTTGCTTGAAGTCACACAGCTCTGCAGTGACTGCGTTGGGCTTAGGGCAGCCCCTGCCTTCCAGGCTGGCTTTCAGGGAGCATCCTGGGATTCCCCCCTGTGAGAATAACCCAGTCCTCTCCATCCCCCCACTCCAAGACCTTCTCCATCCTCGTCCTCCAAGCTTAAAGGAAAGGATCCAGTCTAGCTATAGTTTGATTGGAGGCAACAAAAATGGAATTAATTGCACAAAGAAGACATCACAGCAGATGTCTCTCTGTCTCTCTCTTTTTTTTAAATTATTTTTTCCGGGACCAGCAGTTGGCGTAATGGCTATGTTGCTGGACTCCCATGTAGTCAACTGTGGTTTGAGTCCCAGCCCTGGTGGCTTAAACTCACACTGGGCATGTGTGTG